TGGAATGATTGTTTGAAGGTAGACATAATGTGTCGTATCGTACTATCAATTAAAATGGAATTGTCAGTATTTGCACGTTGAAACGATAACGCTTACTATTAATGACGTGTGAGATCAGCATCTACAGTATAACACAGATATGTGGAATCATGGAGATTTTATTCTAAACTAGCAGCAGAGCCCGGCGTGGCCCGGGGATGTAACAGTAAGAGATAAATCAAGTATCGACCATCATAAAGACTGAAAAATAAAATTGACAAAGATTATTGTTTAAGGTTGACGGACACACATGTCTTAATTACTTTTTTTTTAACGAATTGGTCAAACCCAAACTCAAACAAAAACATTGTTTTCAATCGTTATGAGTCTATCGATTGAATAGAATTTTATTATAAACAATTGTCTTGTAAATGGAATTTTTAAAGCATTCTGAATGTAAAAATAAAGAAAAAAAGTGTGCAAGACAATAAAAACACTACCTGCCAAAAAAGTGAAGTTTTGTTGAAATCGGTTGAAAAATGTAGGAAATCCGATCCAATATATAAACGTACAGACACACACACACACACAACCTCGGCTTTATAATAAGTATGATTATTGATAATTTAAGATATGCAAATTCGAAAATATTCAGCTTACTAAGATTGTGTTGCGCCAGATCATCAAGTTCCCACCAGAGCTTAATACTTACTGTAGATGCTAGTGTGAAAATATGCAACTGAGGGACATTGGAATTGTTTAATAAACTGAAAAATTTACACCGTGTATGTCTCGCAGAAAATCATTCAAGCCAAAATTTGTATTTCTTTAAAACAAAATGAAATAGAACAAGAACAAATGGAAAAAGAAAAACAAACAAAATAGAAAACGATATTTATTAAATGGCGTATAGTTTTCACCTTGTCAGGGTGAGTTAGCATTTAAATAACATCGAACAGTCACAAGACTAAAGTAGTGGCAGGATGTAGTAAGTAGCAATCTATCTAATTCTGTTAATTACCTATCTATCTATCAATCTGAATCTGTTCATTATTTATCTATCTATCTATCTATCTATCTATCTATCTATCTGAATCGGTTCATTATCTATCTATCTATCTATCTGAATCTGTTCATTATCTATCTCTCTCTCTATCTATCTATCTGAATTTGTTCATTATCTATCTTTTCATCTATCTGAATCTGTGCAGTATCTATCTATCTATCTATCTATCTATCTATCTATCTATCTATCTATCTATCTATCTGAATCTGTTCATTATCTATCTATCCATCCACCTGAATCTGTGCATTATCTATCTATCTATCTATCTATCTATCTATCTATCTATCTATATATATATATATATATATATATATATACCTAACTGAATGTGTTCATTATCTATCTATCTATCTATCTATCTATCTATCTATCTATCTATCTATCTATCTATCTATCAGACTCTGTTCATTATCTATCTATTTATCTATCTGAATCTGTGCACTATATATATATATATATATATATATATATATATATATATATATATATATGGACATATTCATTATTCATATCTATCTATTTATCTATCTATCTATCTATCACTCTCGTATATGTTTGTATCCGTCTATCTATAAATTCAAATGTACTTTTAGCGTTTTATCTACGACAACCGTCAATACAAAAAAATTCCCTATCCTTACGCACACATGCACACGCAATCACTGACCCCCCCCCGACACACACACACTTAAATACACTTGTATATATTATATATACAGGGTGCGATGAGCAAATTGCAGTCTCATCTAACTCTTTCCGAATCTTCTGCACTGTTCTCAGACTGACGCCCAAACACTCTGAAATGATAGTATTGGAGCTTCCGGTGCGAATGCCAAGCAATACAGCATACAAATTTCTGGCAGAATGAATTGCATCATGGGGCTGTCTTTCTCACAGACGGTGCCCAACTAACCGTACTATACTGTGCAGTCGACAAAATCAGAAATAAACAATACGCATGCGCAAAATTAAAACTATAAAAAATTGCGAACAAAAACCTATTGCAACCTGTGTTTTTATGTTTGTTTAGATGTCTCTGTGTGTGTTTGTGAAGAAATTTCTGCATTTTTTGTGGAAGAAAATCCAATATTGGAAGGAGTATTTATTTTATAATAATAGTCAGTGTAGACATAGCAATCAACACTGCATGTTTCACTCCTTAAATGATCTTCAGATAATAACATATAAAATAAGAAATATGATAAAATATAGTTTGAAATTGTTCAATATCAGGAACAGAGTATATGTAAATATAAAAGTGGACATTGAGGTTAACAGGCTGTTATAGCTGCGTGTTGAACCTCAATATACACTTATATATATATATATATATATATATATATATATATATATATATATATATATAAACAGATCAAATTCCCTCCAAATTTTCTGTTTCCCAACGCTTTTTATCCCTGTTGTTTTTAAATATCCCATATTAAAATATCCCACAATATGTATATGTATATATATAACCTGAACAAAATAAACTATGAAATCTCCACAAACATTCTTAAATGCCTATAATTTATGACAGAAGCCATTGGTTTATACTAATGGCTTCCCATACTTAATATTTCTCGTTTTTCACTCTCGCGTGGTTATGTGTGACGTCTCGCGCTGCGACGCGATTTTCGCTTCCTTGTCTCGCAAATGCGAGTTTGTCGTTACTTTGAGCTATTTAAGCAGCAAAGGCGGACTATTATTGTAGTTTCGTCTGTGTGTCATATTTGATAATGGCGTATGTAAGCCGAAGGCTTAGATTGGATTTAAACATGTATCAATATGGTGTTTTCCTTTCGTCTTTCAACGATAATGTGATTATCAGACACAACGAAAGTAACTTACTCAAAATAAATAGGCAAAACTTGTCTATATTATTTAATGAAACATGCATCAATGAAAATATTTTGCTTTTTATACACAATATATATATATATATATATATATTTTATATATATATATATCCTATTCTCAGCAACCAATAAAACTGTCAAAATGACCAAGGAGGGTATTCTGAAAACTCAGGAATCTCCCATCCTCTATCTTAAAAACATCTTGAAAGAGGCCGTTTGACCAACACAAGGACTGTCCAAAATTAAAACAAAAAAAAAAGCAAAAACAAAAAAAACCAAAAAAAAAATGAAAACTACAGATAAATAGATCTTACCATTGCACAACAGTCATTCACTACTGTATTTCACTTCTACTAACAAAAATGGGACTTTTTTTAACCCTCCTGATGATGACTATGTTGGCCAAAACTAAAATCAAATTAATTGAAATAATAAAACAAAAAAATATCTAACATAAAAAACCCAGTGTGTCTGAAAATTTTAATTTTTTAATATGTACATATATATATATATATATATATATATATATATATATATATATATATATATATTGATTTTCAAAATGTTATAGCTTTGATTTGGCACAAGGCCAAAAAAAACAGGAATCACCCAGAGAGGATCCAACTTACTACTCAGTCGTAATTGTTCTAGCGAGACAAACATGCTTTACCACTACACCACCTCGAGGTGCCCCATATATATATATATATATATATATATATATATATATATATATATATATATATATATATAGAAAGTTTAATATCTCATTCTCTTACCTTCTCATTTGTTGTATTCATCCACTTTCGCCATCTTTGTTTTGATCTTTGTTTACAAATGGATGGAAAAATTCGCCTGATCTGTCTGTTCGACAAAATAAATGAATACACATAAATATATACAACAAAGAAGACGTCATCGTTTCCTGTTTTTTTCCCATTGAGCATTTCTGGTTGACTAAAGTAACATTATTTGATTCCTCTTTAATTCAATATTCGATATTTTCTATCTCGACAATCGAGTTGAGGGTGTTGTGCGTGTAGAAGGCCAACGCTGAAAGACGATAAAGCGTTAGAAATGGCGCCAAACCTCCACTTTGTTATAAAGCCTTACGCAAGAAATCACCAGAATAAAAAAAAACGACCAAAACTAGTCAGATAATTCTTTTTTGTGCATCTATCATCCAAGTGTTATAGCCCGTCTGCTTCCGTCTGTCTATTTGCTAAGTGTTGCGTTAGTAAAACTTGTTACTACGAAACATAGGTTCATATATAAATAACTTGACTAAAACAAAACCAAGGCAAAAACAATACTAAATACTTGTTATAATCATTTACAAGAACAACATTAGAATCGTTGATTTTAAAGGTTAGTCTAATCGATTTTAATATCAATATCAGTGAGAATCAAATTTGATGTTAAATCAGTAACTCTTAAGTTTAATATTCGTAAAGCCGTAGGTAGGTGTAGAACTCAATTTTTCAGTCTGGCACAAGGATTGGGCGACACAAAAAGAATAAAAATGACCAGAATGATCTACTCGATTTATTTAGCAATCAATTTCGGAATCAATACATTTCGGTATATTTTCGGCACTTGTTTACGAGGAAGTCTAACTCAAATTGTCGGGAAGGGACCCGACCCCTGGGTAGCCCCAAAACCCTTAACGGGAAACGAATTCTTTTGCAGTATAAGCAGAAAGGCGTGTGAATTAATGCATATTTTTAACAAGTGTCTTTAATTTGTACTCAAGGGAGATAAATCAGTTGATTTCCCACTTGAAATTCCCTTTCTGAAGAAAAAATTAGAAACAATCAAGAAATCGTGTTTTTACAAATCAATTTCAAACGATGTTACTTTCTAATCTTAAACACAAACATGTACATATACATATACATACACAGACATACATGGCTATATATCTGTTATATAACCTACCTATGAACACTAATGGGCATGTCCCAATCCTCATAAATATTTTGGACACTATTGTTAGTGGGGGGTAATATGCTGTATAAGTATTCCACCACAAGCAGTGGTTTACCTACTCCACGCCGCTGGCGAGTATTATATTTTGTTGATGTTATAAAGATTACCATTTCATTTCCAAAGTTCGTTTTGGTTATTCCTCATTCAGTGTGCCTTTCTAGGTTGCAACACTATCTATCTATCTATCTATCTATCTATCTATCTATCTATCTATCTATCTATCTATCTATCTGTCTGTTATATACCATACCTATGAACACTAATGGGTATGTCCCAATCCTCATAAACACGTCACACATTATTGTAAGTGGGGGTAATATGCTGTATAAGTAGTCCGCCACAAGCAGTGGTTTACCTACTTCACGCCGCTGGCGAGTACTGTATTTTGGTGATGTTATAAAGATTACCATTTCATTTTCAACCCCCGTTTTGGTTATTCCTCATTCAGTAACCCATTCTAGGTTACAACAATATAATGTACACATCTCTCATTGTAGTATGCCCCCCCCCACAAAGACATAGGCGATCATGTTAACGTACGTTCTCCGTGTCTTTTCTGCAAATATTTTCTTCTTAATTATTCTAACGAGATTTCTTTGGTACCCAGTCTTTATGAATTTAAACGCAATACTAGATTGGTGATTAGGTCTCATCCTTTTACAGTTGAAATGGCTAGATGTAAACATAAGTTCTATGCTATGATTTTCTTCCCTCGGACTTCTCACTTGTGAAATTCTCTTGCGGCTTCTTACTTTCCAATCAAGTCTGACCTTCAAAAATATAAATGCAATGTCAGTCGTCATCCTGGTAGAACTAGAAGGAGGAGGGATTTAAAAAAAAAAAGACAAACATTGCTAAAAGCTGCGAAGGATAGAAAGCAATGTCAATCGTCATCTTTTGTCTTAATTTCTGTTCTTTTATTGTCCTGTCTTTTTAATATTTTCATTTTCTTCTATTTTTTATTTTAATTTTTTTTCATAGACGGTAACTCCTTGCATTTTAGTAGCTTTAATGTCTGGCTTAGAGTGAAATGATAAAAAAAAAGATGGCGAATGTAATTAAGGTTGTACATAAGATCAATGAAGACAGAGTTCAAATGTTTGTAAAACTTAATCAAAAATGAAGGCCTGAAAAATATAACACTCACATGATATAAGGAAAGAGAGAGGAATGTAGTAACCTACCTAAGGAGATGGATAGTAAAACTAGAAGGAGGTGGGATAAAAAAAAATGACAAACATTGTTAAAAGCTGTGAAGGATAGAAAGTTGTGGAGAGCCATGATCGCCCAGATGCTGTAGGGACATTGCAACTAGAAAAAAAGATTGATATAAACGAGTATAACTTTGCATTTCTATTGGTTTCCGTTCGAAAGAGTGAGTCACGTGACAGGAATCGAACTTGTGATAAAAGGAACAGTAATTTTTGATAAGCACATCCAGAATAGACAAAATAAATCGAGAGTCACAGGTTAAAGATAATGTCGAAAATGATGATAATGTCGAAAATAATGCGTAAGCTCTGCTTTGTCCGGATATTATCATGCAGCCGATCATACCAAGATGGCTGGGGCCAATTTTGTTACGAACGTCTACCATGCAAATGCGCATCTGAATTCGCTGGCATTATGTTTACGCTAATGCTGGCGAGAGTTGTCAGAAGCAAGTACTAAACAACAGATAGAGTTCCATTGCACGTTCATGAAGAATTATCTGTCTCTTCTTTGCCTACACACACACACACACACACAATATTCAACGCACACACAGATATATTTATCAATGAGAGATCATCAAAATTTGAACGAGTAAAATCATCTATTCATCTTTTGCAGCATTTGCGAGATCAAGTGTCTGTTAGAAAGATAAGTATTTCGGAAGCCCATCACGGCCCGGTGTGAGCGTCGGCTTTTAGTGCGCGCATCTGTGTCTGACTTTCTTTCAGGGCGCTGAGATACAAAGCCACGTGTATGTGTGCACGTGTGGGTGCGTTTCAGTTTTCTTCGCTATACACAAGACAAGGGTGCACGTGGGTCCAGATGAGAACCTGCCATAAACAAATGGTTCTTTCGTCAATGTGGCGTGTTAAATGCGCCCGCCAAAAGGAAAGTGGAAAAGTGACGTGCCGTTGGATGAATGAAAATGCGCGTGTATGGGTGGGCGAGCGCATTCGTGTGCATATGTGTGCGCGCGTTTGTGATCGGGTAGGAAAAAGATGGACGAAAGTGATCATAATGCACCAAAAGTAATCTCTCAGTATCTATCTATCTAGCTAGCTTTCTTTCTTTCTTTCTTTCTTTCTTTCTTTCTTCCTTCCTTCCTTCCTTTCTTTCTTTCTTTCTTTCTTTTTTTCAATCTCAATGTATTCCATTATCTATCTATCTATCTATCTATCTATCTCATCTTATTTATCATATCTATCTATCTATCTATCTATCTATCTATCTATCTATCACTCTTTCTCTCTCTCTCTCTCTCTCTCTATTTATATATATATATATATATATATATATATATATATATATATTTGGTTGGATTGATGTTAATTTGTGACCCTGGGTTTCAAATCTTTTTTAATAAGTACCGCGTATATAATATATAAATAATTATATATATATATATATATATATATATATATATATATATTTTAATATATTTTTCTATTCATACATTTTCACACACACACATATATATATATATTCTGTGTGTGTCTGTATATTATTATATATATATATATATATATATATATATATATATATATATATATATATATATATAACGGAATAACTATATATATATATATATATATATATAACGGAATAACATATATATATATATATATATATATATATATATATATATATATATATATATTTTAAGAACAATTTTTTCCTGAAAAGAAATATGAAAGTGGAAGTTTTTTTCATGTGACGCGTTTCGGACTTTAGGACTTCATCAGGCTTTGTTTTGTTTTTAAATTGAAAAACAAAACATTGAACGAACGAAAGATGCTGAGGTCTAAAATTTAAAAATATCTTTTTAATTCGATTTATGTATATTTTGGTTATATAAACTGGCCAATTTCATTTGGATTCCTTTTCTTTTTCTGTCTGTATCTCTGGGATGAGGTTTAGTATTTATATTATTTACAATATTCGATTAAGTTATCCTTATCTTCATTGCCATATTCACAACGTTTCGGCCGTTGTACGCTCAAATTTCTTCATATTGAAAATATTTTTTTTATTTCGAACCAAGCCCTTTATTTATTTCACCGGGGGGTATTTTTCTTATTCCACTTATTTTGGGGAAACCGGATGTCTCATTTATTTCCTTTAAATTAAATCTCCAATTTTTTTTTTTTGTTCATCAATGCTGTAGCCTGGTTTGAAATCACAACTGTTTAAGTCTAATCACTGGATTGAACCGCCTTTTATCAACTGGGCCATGTGTTTTTTATATATTTTATAAGTGGTAAACAAAACTTGGATAATTCAGTTAAAGGGAAAATAATTTTTTCCGTAAATTTTACATTGAAACAAACAATCTAAATTTCATGATTTGGCAAAATAAAATTTATAAGTAATAAATTCCAATCAAAAAAGGGGTTTCCATCATTTCATCATTTTTATTTTTATTATTTTATTATTAATTAATATCCCATATTTTCATAATTTAAATATTATCTGTAATAAATATGATTTGAAATTTACTTGGACGCAAATTTATTTTTGTATCTTTTCCTTTAAAAAACTTTATCGAAACATTTTCCTTATAAATTGTTTTCCTTTTTAATCAAAGTAGCATTTTTAAATTTGGTGTGGTCTTGTCTCATTAGTCTTAACAACTAATCCATTTAATGTGTCGGTTTGTAATAAAATCTTTGTTTTATCTTTTAAATAAATTCCGTGATCCAATTATCGATGTATTCACATAAAATAATTATTAAATTATTTTGGAAAATTCTTCCTTCAAAAAACATTCTATTATCCTAACTTAAATAATAAAAGGAATTTTTATTCAAAAATTTGTAAACGGTATATATATATATATATATATATATATATATATATATATATATATATATATATATATATATCAAAATATATATATAAATATTTCCATATCAATAAAATCCAGGAGAAAAAAATGTCAATGGCAGAAATTGACTTATATTATTTTAGCCTTAAAAATTTAAAATTCCATTAATTCTTATTGTATATATATATATATATATATATATATATATATATATATATATATATTTATGATTTTGTCATTGTGTGTGATTTATATTTGTGTGTGTATTGTTAAAAAAAAAAAATAAAACATTTCAAAAGTTCTTTTTTAAATTTTTAAACTATAGAAAAAACCTTATTATTTTTATTTTTAAATTTTTAAAAAACAGTGATCGATACATCGCTTGAGGATGAATTGATGAATTGGAAAAATTTTAATTTCTGTTTTTTTTGAAACATGGTAATATTGTTTTGTTTTTTCCCCCAATCATATTTTAAAAAATAATTATATATATATGTTTGTATATATATATATATATATATATATATATATATATTTATATAAAAGAGAACAGTGATTCCTCATTTTTTGAAGAAGAAACTGATAGATTCAATTCTGTCATTTGGACATATTTATACTATTTAATAATTTTTTTTTTTATGAATAAAGCAATAATACAAATTTTTCTTTATTATAAATTTCAGTTCAGAGGTCTTTATCATCAATGAAATTTTACATTTATTCTTCTTCACTATAATAATATTGATTAAAATCTTTCATTTAATTTTAATTAATGTTGTTTTATTGAAACAAAATTTATAATATATTTTCGTTAATTTTGATATATATATATATATAACTATATATATATATATATATATATATATATATATATATATAAAAACTCATCAAGTGATAATATTATATATATATATATTTGTCTATATTTAATGTATATATATGTGTGTGTGTTGTTTGGTGCCTTATCAAGAGATGGTACCATCACCAGAACCATATTGAACAAAATGGTTATTTTATAGTGATTTTATAACATTTTTTCATGATTTTTCGAATAAATGATTATATTTTCTTAAACTATGTATTGAGCACTCTTTAAATATATTCTTGTTATAATGTCAATTCAATTTATTACAATATACATTTTTCCTATATTTGGATATATATATATATATATATATATATATATATATATATATATATATTTCAACTACACTAAAGAAAATATATTTTTATATATATATATATATATATATATATATATATATATATATATATATATATATATAAGAAAAAAAAGAGAATTATGAACGAAAAAGAAAGAATTATAAATTTTGAATATAAATAATTTGTTTTTAAATTTTATATCGAAAAATGTGTTCACTATGTTTTACTTATATTCAAGAATTTCTTTTCCCATGTAATGTTATTAATATCTGATAAGAAAACGCAACTGATTTTTTTTCATACGTAAAACAATTGTTTAATCTCTTCTGATCACCGTCAAATTGACATTGGCCGATGGTACGTGTTTTCAGGTTTTTTCACGAACGTTCGATCTTCTCCATGATCGTTTTATCAATATTCTAAAATTCTCCCAACGTAAGTTGGGATCAAAACTTTCAATAGATCAAATTTTTCAATTGTCATTAAAAGAGATTCAGACATCTGGTATTTAATAACAAATACTTAATTACAAAAAATTAATGACGAATATCTATCTATAAAAAGTCATAATGTTTGTTTTAAAAAATGTGTGTGATTTTTATGCATTGCTTTTTTCAATTTTCGACGGATTTGTACTCAAATTTATTTGCACATGTTCCATGTTAAACAGAAAAATTCAACAAGGCCAACTTTGCATTTCCCAACTCCATCGATAGTGGAAATAATCGATTTTTCATGTTTCTACGTTTTTTTTTTGTAGTTTTTATCCATTTTTTCTATTGGCCAGATTGAAAATTATATAATCCTGCCACGAATAATTTATTTTAATTCTATTATGCCAAAATTCGAGCAACAAAATGATTTTAAATTTATTAATAAAATTTTAATTAGCATTTTAACATGCAAAAAAATATCGATAAATGCATTCGTCATAAATGGGAAAAATTTAAATCCGCATGCCACTTTACTCCGATTGGTTCATTCGATTTAAAACTCAACGTTGATTCTGATTCCGTAGAACTGGGTTTGGATATGAAAAAATTTGTTGTTAACATTCTTTTTCATTCGGTTTTTCAGTTACGAGTCCTTTTTTAAAGCTGATCGTTTTGTGGTTCATTTTGTTTTTCTTTTTTCGTAACAGATTTAATGTTTTAAATAGAGCATTACATTATCAAATTTCGCAGTGTGAGATAGGCAAGAAGTAAATCATTTGTTGTTCAACATCAGCATTTGGCAAAGGGCACTCCTTTAAAAAATAAGGAAATAAAAAAATATTTCAAAGTTCAAGTGAATAAATTTTGTATGAGTCGTATTTTTTTTTTTCAAATGAACGCCAGACCATGCTTCTATATAAATATAAATGGATTCATTTATTTGTATTCTGCTTTTTTTGAGAGTGAATGAGATTTTGATTGTCTTCTTTACGACTTCATCTTGGTCGCTTTAAGTCTTCTCAATGCACGTGGCGAAATTTTCTCAATAAAATGACAATATATTTTGAAAGAAACCCCGTCCACCTGGAGAAATGCAGGTGCTTTCTCGGCAACGAAGGCCTAAGCTGAGCACATATTATTAGTAGTACGCTTTTACTATTGTGCTATTTAAGGAAATAAAATACGCCCAACTGTTTTCTGTATTACTCTAAATATGCAGACAAAAATGTGTCGACGACTCTACATGGGATAGCAAGCTCCTGTGGTACAGAATGGTGATTCAAATCTTAACTGAAATTTCTGCTATAATGAATATGTGACGTTCTATCCCGATCTACCAAAAATAATGGGATCCAATCTATCCTATCCCGGTCCACGACACCAGTTGAAAATTGAAAAAGCACCATTTGGTCCTCGCCGCGGCGCCAGCTTTCGCTCCTGTCCCGTCACGTGTCGCCATTCTGTGACGTGACGTCCGCCTGTCGCGTCAGTCGTGTTGTCTCGTCCTGTGACGACCAACTGTCCGGGTCGGTCGCTGCACCCAAATGTGACGTTCTAACCCTTTTGTGATTCGGGTGGAATCTGGTTAGATTTGATATCAGCCTCGCCGTTCCCAACTCGCTTCCAACGCCTGGTTACCAGGGTAACTGCACTGATCTCCAGTCTGCCTACCCACGTTGTGAATTGATCTTAGACAGACGAGATCAAACAGGGGTTGGGGCCGTAATGCAAATTGAGTTCAACGGGGTGATAACACACAAATATGCATAAAAAAAAAAATGAAAACTCAAAAAGTTCAAAGTATCAAAGAAAAAGGTAACAAACTTTTTGTCTAGTTGTTCGATACATAGGACTGCATCTATCTCCCGACCCGTTCTGTGGATTGTGACACGTCGTTTTCGCTAGGCAAATTTTAACGCTTCAAGTTGTTTGCTCTCTAAGAAATTTGTGTTTCGGTGTGTCTTTGGACGAAAGTCGAAAAAAAACTTATTTCTGTGGTCTGGTTCTAAGTCGCTCTTCAAAATAATTGTTCTTGGTTGAAGAAGAGTCCAAAATTTGCGTGAATCTTGGTCAGCTATCTTGAGGCGGCTTCAACTCTGGGCACTCACTCTGCCGTCGGGGCTCTGAACTCCGCCTGAACTCCGACGAACTGCTCGCCAGGGTCCGAACTCTCCACTCTGGGCACTCATCTCTGCCGTCCGGGGCTGAACTTTTCTGTCTGTTGGGGCTTCGTTTTTTATTGACGCCGACAAAACCGGGGTTGGGTCTGTCGGCGTCGGGGTTCTTCGATAATTCTAAATACATATCCACCTCTTTTATTTCTGGTTAGGGATTTTCCACTTTTTCCATTTTTGGTAACTTTTTCCTCACTCCCACTTTCTCACCATGCTTCTGAGGGGCGTGAACTGCCCTCCCCACTTCTTCGTAGCGGCTTCTCATACTTATACTCTGGATGGGGCGTCGACTGATTTTCTTCGTGCGTCACGTGACCACTCTCGGCCAATGAGGTCCTGGTCGGGTATCTTTCCTCCTCCTTCGTGCGTCATGATCACCACTTGACCAATGACGTCTTAGTCGGGCGTGAACAACCCGCGGCTTTGTTTTGGGAAAAAAATACCTTGCTTAACTAAAAAAATTAATTAAATCTTTCCTTTTTCTTTCTTTCAAATCGTTATCATCAGCCGAACGGATAATATGACAACTCTTTGTTCAACACGTGGCGTTTGTCAAGCAGTTTATCGCCAATTCATCTGGACAGCTGGATTATCTGACATGGTCTCAGAAAAGAATTTTCTCCAAGTTTTCGCCAATCTGGCGTCTTCCAAAAAGAAATAAAAAATTCTTATTCCATTTTTTCCTTCGGTTCATGTGTTTGATAACAAAATTTTATTATCGTAGGGCAAAAGTTTGTTCTGTCAAAAGAAAAAACTTAGCCAGTGAAACTACCTGTGTGGGATTTTAATTTTCCATATCCAGCCAAGGCTCCAAGCTACACCTGTTTTTGTCAATTATCAAAATCTAACGTTTTCAAGCGAACCCTTTCTTTGGTGAACATCTCTTGATAACACAATTCCATTTTTTCGCGGATAAGCAGAAATCGGTCAACGCTTGTTCGCAGGTGGCCTAGATATTTTCGACATTTGATACTTATTTTTTTAACCCTTTTCTTTTCTTATTCCCGTCTCTTAGGCCATGTGTGTGTGTGTTTCGCCTATGACCCGTCTCGTATTACTTTTCCTTTCTTTCTTCGTTTTTTCTTTTTTCTTCCAAATCGCCTGAATGCATGGCGGTTCAATCCTCCTGCAAAAGAAAGAATTATTCTTAAAACCTAAAATACATTTCGGCCTTAAATAATCCTCAAATGGTTTTTAAACCGTAAAAAAGCAAATCATATATCTATAAATATATCTTTCAAATCGCCTGGATGCATGGTGCCACAATTCCTTACTTACATTATTTACATTGTTCGAACTGTTATCCTCATCTTCATTGCCATATTCACAACGTTTCGACCATTGTACGCTGCTTCATTGCAATATTCATAAAGTTTCGACCGTTGTACACTCCACGGCCATATTCACGTTTCGGCCGTTTAATATGGCAGTGAAAATGAGGATAACAGTCCAAACAATGTAAATAGTATAAGTAATCTTAATATCTCATCTCAGAGATATAAGCAAATACCATTCCTTTTGCCAACCCGTCCTGGGTAAGATGATAAACTACAACCGGCAGCAAGGCCTCTGATCAGGAGGTTTTGAGGAACATGAAACCACCTCTTAATTGCTGGTGTTCCCAGGTCCACCCTGACTCGGGGTGGTAGCACCTGTCAGGGTCCCAGCCATAGGCAAATAGTTAACCCCCCACAAGGGGTCAAGCACTATGAAAGTATAAAAATAGGTTTTAATACCAGCAGTACTTTTTTGGAAAAATTATTATCAGCAGTAGATTTTTGAAAAAAGAAAAATATTACCAGCAATAAAAAACTTGTCGGCATTAAATAAGCCATTCATATCGATATGCCGTAAAACAAAGCAAACCTTGTTCCAAATTGATGGGGCATAGTGCAAAAACCTCACTCGTTGTATTTTTCCCGTTTATATACGTGACAATCATTTTGTCTCCTCGTACAAATCTAAAAAAAAGATTGATGATACCTGATTTATATCCCTCTAAACCAAAAACAAAACGCTTCCCCCATAAGAAAAAGAAAGAAATAGAGAAAGAAAGAAAAAGAGATGACATATCTATATTCTGGATTCTCAGGTAAAAATCGAATTCTTCAAGATCACCATTAAAACGATGTTAACGCGTGACGCGGCGAGGAATCTTCATTGTTCTGTTTTAATCAAGAATCGTCCTCAGTTTTAGTTTTAGGATTAATAAAGAAATCAAGAAAGACAGTAAAATAATAACAAATTGTTTGTTTTGAAAGGAAATCATAAGGAAAAACATGGAAAATCTTAGTAGAGGATCTTTGCATTTCAAGATATGTATCCAGTTGATGAAATAACGACAAATAGAAATAAAGTGAACCACATTGCAGACTAATTTTCGTTTCTTTTATATTTGAAGCGTAACAACCCGGATTCATACCCACGATAAATAGAAATAGAGACGAATTCCAGAAAGTTCAAATTATATGTATATATATATATATATATATATATATATATATATATATATATATATATATAATATGGACATTGAACACCGAGAGGTGACAGTCTGTTTCATGCTAAACGCCTGACTATTGCGTTTTAGCATGAAACAGACTGTCACCTCTGGTGTTAAGATTCAATGTCCACTTATATATGTTTATTTTATATTTGCATACGCTCTCTTCCTGATATTGAGCACTTTAACCCATAAATATAGTATACCTTAAAACTATGTTTTATCACACACACACACACACACACACACATATATATATATATATTGAAGATTATATATATATATATATATATATATATATATATATATATATATATATATATATATATATATATGTATCTTAAATTGCAATCATAAATACCTATTCGTTGAACAACTGATCCAAGCAAAGTAGTTATCATTTATATCTTTCAAACTCTTGAGAATAGATTTAATACTGACTGGATGCATGGAAACGTACTTTTCTCTTTTATTTCTGATCTATCTTAATCAGTCAGTCAGTTAGTCTATCTATCTATCTATCTATCTATCTATCTATCTATCTATCTATCTATCTATCTCGGTCTCCCTCTCTCTCTCTCATTCTCTCAATATCTATATATCAAGCGGTGTTTTTTTAACTTTTACAAAATCAGAATAAAAGGGTTTCTTGCTTGCCATGCAATTCTGTCAAATAAAAAAAAATAAAGAAAATTTAAAAAAAAAAGAAAATGTTTAAAATTTTTTTTTAAAAACACCAAGCCAGAAAAATCGTTGTGAATTTAATTCTCCAATACATTTTGTAGTTTCATCCTCTTGCTTTTATTCTTACATTTCGGCAGATACAATCTTCAGCCCTCCTATGGTATTATTGTATATCTGTTGGGACTTAAAAAATTATTTTTCATCTTCATTTTAAAAAATAGCCCCTCTCTTAGTGAATGCGTTTATTTTCAAATTGAAACCAGTGTTTGCGTATATACAAGCCAGTATAAATATCTCAACTGCCAATCCATCAAAGGGGACATATGTGTGAACAGAATTTCTCATCCCCATATATATATATATATATATATTAAAATTAAAAAAGAACGGACAATCTTAATGGTATATTGATTATATTTTATTTCCCCAGGAAAGTGCTTTTTTTCCTGGATCCTCAGATCATATTTCCAAGCATGCTTGGAAAATGTGATTTATTTCCTGGGGAAATAAAATATAATCATTGGACGCTTATGGTTGTTTGTTTTTTAATCGTAATTAAATTAATATTCGCTCCGGTTTTACATTGAGCTCTCTGGATTACATCCTTCTAAAAATTATCCATAAAATTACCAAACTTTTCATTACCTAACTAAATATATATATATATATATATATATATATATATATATATATATATATATATATATATATATGTATGTATGTATGTATGTATGTATAGTGACTGCATTGTTAGAGCAGTTTTAGTCTGAAGAAGTTCTTTTTTAGGAACGAAACGCGTCATTCGGTTGTCCTCTGTTAGCCTAGATATATAGATTTATATATAATACAGGGTGTGCATAAAGTTCGTGTGGGCTTTAAAAAATTTATAACTTTATTTGTATAAATACAAATAAAGTTATAAGTTGTTTAAAGTGCACACGAACTTTATGGACACCCTGTACTTTCCAAATATACATTTTAGATTATTAATTTGAAATATTTTCTTCCTTTTTTTGTTTTTTAACCGTATTCATTAAGATGCAATATTTGTAGTTAGTTTTTTTTTTGGGGGGGAACCTGTATTTGAATTCATAAAAGGATATGTCGTTGTGTTTATGATCAATTTGGCCTCGTATTTTTGGGGGGTTGTCTATGTATGCATGTGCGTATATGTAAATATGTGTGTGTACGGATGACATTTTGTAAGTGTATTTATGCGTATGAATGCTAATTGCGACATGTGTGTGAATGCTGATTGCCACATGTGTGTGAATGCTGATTGCCACGTGTGTGAATGCCGATTGCCACATGTGTGTGTGCGAATGCTGATTGCCACATGTGTGTGTGTGTGTGTGTGAATGCTGATCGCCACATGTGTGTGTGTGTGTGTGTGTGAATGCTCACTGCCACATGTGTGCGTGTGCCAATTGCCACATGTGTGTGAAAAAGACGTTTTCTTTGAAGTCGCGTTCATCCTTTCATCGATGTGTTCATCATTTATTTATTTCAATCGCAATCTATAGTTGAACGCATTCTTGACTGTGTACACATCGTTTTGCGTCATATCTATCACTGTCCATATACGTCAGAGCGTTCCTCTTTTTGTCATTAG